GATGACTTATTTCTTCTTGAATCGAATTGAGGTTTAATAATGTTGGAAGTACAGGGACCTGAGTTTTAATGCCAATTCTGCCATAACTCATTGTGTAAAGTTTGGCAAGTCGCTTTCTTCTCTGAACCCCAGTCACCCTGTAAAATGATCTATCTTCTCTCCCACTTCTAACATTCAGTCAGACAAATAATGCTTTCTGAAAGGTATTAGCATTTCTAGTTGTAATCCAGGGCTTCCTGCCTCCAGGCTTCTGAGTCCTTCCTTCTTCCCGTTAAGCAGTTGACTCATGTGCTCAGGACAGTTGAGTTGAACTGCAGGGTGTCACCTCTTCTCCTCCCAACCTTCCAGTGAAATAGGGGAGTGGCTGTATTCGGTCATCTTTTTGCCATTTGTTCTGCTGCCTCCTATTGGTAAAGCCCAGTCTGCAGGGTGGGTTATCTGCGTTCTAGCAAAAGAGAAAGCATTTACCTCCTAAAAAAAAAAAAAAAAAATAGGTGGGAGCTACATACATAGAAAAAGCAATTTCACGGGGAGCCTGGGTGGCTTAGTCTTTTAAGCGTCCGACTTTTTGCTTAGGTCATGATCTCGCGGTTCGTGGGTTCGAGCCCCGTGTCGGGCTCTGTGTTGACTGCCAGCTCAGAGCCTGGAGCCTGTTTCAGAGTCTGTATCTCCCTCTCTCTCTGACCCTCCCCTGCTCACGCTGTCTCTCTCTCTCCTAGAAATAAATAAAAAAATATATATATATAAAGAAAAAGCAATTTCACTTAGTATTTTTTAAAACTTTGTCTTTATACACATTCCATCCTTGTGCTTTTGAATTCAATCCTTATCAATGATGTAATGTTACGCTCAGATAGGGTAGGCTAAAAAGCTGAAAAGACTGACTCCTATCCTACAGGAACTTGAGTCCAGAAGGGCAATGGTTCATTCTCTCTCCATCCTTTTGGGAGAGGTCTGGGCAGACAAAGCTATACTGAACTATGTTGGAGAAGGCCTGGGTCTTCGAAAATAAAGAATTTGGGTAACTCCAAGCTACGATGGAAATAAGTGGACTTTTTTATTCTTTTGAGTTACTCTGCATCTAGATTCCATGTCTAGGTTTGGGAGATATCTCTCATTCTGAGAAGGAGCCCACCTCTCAACAGAGGAAAGATTTGTCCGGCCTTTCTGGCATCTGGGGCATCATTTAAGCCTGCCAAATCTGATATGCTAACCCCAAATTCTGAAGGCAAACCTAGTGATATAGAAACTATGCAAACTCTGTCTGGCAATGAAAGGCAGCTGCAGCTACATCTGATCCCCTGAGTCAGTTGTAGTACATCTGATTTCTAGAGTTCAGAATCATCTATTTCAACTCTTTCATTTTGCAAATGCAGTGTGGGATAAATGAAGACCAACCAAAGGAGAACAGGGAAAGTTTATTTATACAGAGCTTGCTATAGCAAAGAAGTCAGCTACTATTACTTGTGTTTTGGCACAGACTTACAGGCCTGCATGAGTAGGAAAGCTTTACAGTAGAAAACAAAGAAGGCTTTGGATATATGCCTTGATTGGAATGGGGAAGCTGTTGGTGGGCTAACTAGAAGCTGATCCTATGTGATTAGTTAGGAGTGCATACTTAGCTTTTCTGATTCATGCTAAGTTGAAAGTAGGAACAAAAAATAGGGAAGCTTTCAGTTACCAATCAAGTTCTGATCATTTAGGGTCAATTGCTATAGGGGTTATGGTTTGGCTTCCATAGATAGATAGATAGTAGTCTGACTTCATACAAATCCAACTTAAAGATAGCCGACTGGCTTCCTGGGCTGGGTACTATAGGAAATGGGTTGGTTTCCTCGGCTGCAGATTGTGGATTGGAATTCTATTTTTGTATATGGTGTATCCACTGTCCATTCATATATTCAATCTCTCATCAGAAACTGAGGCCCAGAGATGGAGAGTAACCAGAACTGATAGGTCAACATGAGGTTCAGCACATTTGTCTTGTGACCGCCAAAGGAATTTACATTGTGTTTGTTGAAGAGACAATGTTTAGATCATGGAAAAATGAAATTCAACACAGATGTCACAAAGAGTACCAAGAAGTTAAAGTTAGTACTACAGCTTGGCAGGAAGGCTCATCACTTTCCCCTCAAGGCAGAACCATTGCTATAGCCAGAGATTCTGTTAAGTGCCCTCTATTTACTGACATTCCAGCCAGACAGCAAGGTGAAGTGGTTAAATGCATAATTTTCCAGTCTGCCTACTGTCTTCATATTTTACCCTCACTATTGTTAGCTGTGTGAACTTAAGATACTTCACTTTTCTGGTCTTCAGCTTCATCATATATAAAATGTGAATAATCACAGCTATCTCATCATGTTCTTATACAAATTAAATGAGTGGGCACTTACAATGCAGTTAGAACAGCACCTAATACATAATAAGTGCTTGTTCAAGTTAGCTAAGACAATCCAATTTAGTGTTCACATCAACAGTGTAGTATGTAGTATAACCTACACTTTGCAGATAAAGAGACTAAGGAGAGTTATGTCACCTGCCCAAGATAGTGATGGTCAGAGTCAAGATTTTTACTCATATCTCTATGAAGTCCTAACATGTTTATCCTTCCTACTGTGCCTCTGAACACAAGATGTCATTGTTGGGAAAGTAGACAGTGGAGTGAGAAGCCTATAGAGCTGTGATATCAGAGTGTTCACATTCAACTTTTCGTTCTGCCCCCTTACACAAATTACTTATCATCTCTGAGCACTTTGTCCTTTGCAAACTGGTAATAACACTATCTACCTCACAGGGTCATCTTAACGATTAAACAATGTAATGTATATGAAGTTCCCAGTACAGTGCCTGACACATGATGAGTACTTAATAAACGATAATAATCACTTTAATTGTTGGAGTTGGAGGTGACAATCATAAACCATTCTTAGAGTCTGTCCCTCAATGGACCCACCTTAATGAAGTTTTCCCTTGATGTTTTCACAACCTGACTGGACTTCTTGATGGCTGAGTTTGCTGTTGTTGGTACTATGATGGGGCAAGGAGAGAAGAGACCAAAGACCTGGAGGAAGAGATGGGTTCTGTTGAGAAAAGGAATAGATAAGTAAAGAGGTAACAAGTCAGTATGAACATGGTAATGTGCAGTTCCCAAAGCCCCAGGGTTCCCATGACCCACGCTTCCAGGAAAGTCAGAAATGTCTCTCAGAAAACAGAGGAGGAATTTCATCCTTAGCTGGGGGCCAACCTGGAACACACCCATCTGGAAGACTAATACCCTTGGCAGGGAAAACCATCTCCTCATTGCTTTCCAATGTTTCTTGGAGGTGGTTATTCCAATTTTAATGCGGAGTTCAGTGAACTTGGCTATTTCTGGAGAGTTGAAGCTTAGTTGTTTGTCAGACTGGTCAGAGAAAATCAGGAGACATGCAACTGGAAAATACGATAAAAAACAAGTGAGATGGAGTAAAAATCTGATAGCAAATAGGTGATAAGTATGTGGGATATGAAAGCAGAAGATGTCTTGTTTTCAGAGGAACATTTAAAAAGACAAAAACAAAAAAACACGTGTCTTCCATCACCCTGAAAGGTAGACACTATCATCCTGTTTTCCAGAGGAAGAAACTAAATTCCACGAAGGTTAAGTTTCACAGCCCAAATCCCGCAGGTAGTGAGGGTTGAGTCATGATTTGGATCCAAGAAAAAAGATCTGGGAAAAATACACCTAAACATTTAAGAGTGGATTATAGGTGATTTAAATTGTTTTCTTTATGTTTCTCTGTATGTTCTAAATTTCCTCTGTTGGGTAGTTGTTACTTGTATAATGAGAAAAGAAACTAGTAAAGTTATTTAAACTTCATCAAGGCCCAAGCTGAGGATTGGGAGCAGAAACCAGGAACAGTGAGGGAAACTGGCTGTGGGAGTGAGGGCATCAGCATTAGTCTGCTGTTCATGAAATTGGGAAAACTAAAGTACAGCTGGCGGTGCAGTTCCAAGTGAGGTGGGGAAGAAGGAGGCAAGAAGCCCACGCCAGAAGAGCCCAGAGAAGCTCAATATGAAAGGGGCTTGAACAGAGAATATTGACTTAGTGGTTGGTCATAAAGACAAAGACTCAACCCAGAAACAACCTACACCCTGGGCGCTGGCCACAGTACAAAGTGGAATAGCTTCAGGAGAAGGTTCATGAACTTCCCTGGGCAAGGCTCAGTAATTAAACTTTGCACCTGTGTGTTCTTAACCCTTATAACAGAATTTCCTGTCCATTGTAATTTGTGTTGCGATAAAGTCTCCTGACGCAAAACCCAAAGTGAGAAAGAAAAGCAGGTTCATAGAAGACAGTGCTCAAAGCCAACAAGGTGAAAGCAGTGATAACTGAAGCCCTTCACTTGGTCACAGTCTCTTTATGTGGAGGGCCGAGTCATAGGGCCAGAGATGCGAGTGGATTAAGAATTAAACTGGGAGTGCATTCAGTAGGAGGGAGAAGGTCCAGGTTCCCATTGGCATCTTTCTTCCCCAAAGGAGCAAGAAGTCCCTAGGTGATATGAGATTCAAGGTCTCTGCGCCATTGTTTTTGCTCCTGAAGCATTTGCAAACTCCAAGAAGATATTATGCAAAGAAAACTTTATTTGTAGAAGTACATTTTTGCCATGCAAGATTCCATAGCAAGTACGGGTTGGGGAGGTGAGTGAGGGTGATCAGTAACTGTGAGACAAGTCTACAATTTCACATCAGAATTTCTTCTACAACCCACACTTAGTAGCTATTAGTTCACTACTAAATATCTCACAGAGTCTTGGCAGTCAGAAAACATGTCCTTAATTTAATAAAAGTGAATAACACCCCTGGCCACCCCTCTAGAACTTAGAAGGTTTGTTTACTGTACAAAAACTTATAGTCAGGTTATAAATACAATCCATGAATTTTTGAAGTCTTATCCTCTCATACAAAAATAAATAAGTTAAATAGCAAAAATAAATAAATATATTAACTAATAAATACACCCAACAGTGGAAAAGATATTAGCAAAATCTTATAAAACCATGGTCTAGATTAAGGGTGGGAACTCATGGGGACAATCACAATAAGGAAGTAAATAATAAATAAATAAATAATATACACAGCGACCAGCACTAAATTGTGTAGCAGTGAGGTGGTGCTTTGGGGTCAGGCCTTCACGGGTACTGAGGACTGGGACTCTTGGCCAGCACTACCGCCAGTGGGGTCATCACTGTCTTCCTAGTCCATCTCCTCCATCCATTGCAGGAGAATGTCCAGCTCTCCCAAAGCCTTCTCCACTGCTGCCTGAGGCGTAAGCTGAAAGACACACACTTCTGTTCTGAGCATCTCATAAAGAGACCACATGTACTCCCGGGTTAATGCTCTCCTTTCACTGGTAGCTCCACTGGGGATTGTAAGCACAGTATTCTTTTCAAGATGGAGAGCATGAAAGAAGTTAAGGAATCTTAAGATCTCACAAGAGGAAGGAAAATCATGGAGTCCATTACATAGGGAAACTGAAGCTCAGAGGGTAGCAGCATTTGGACTATAACCTCATCCCCTCTTGAATCACAGAGATCAAAGTAATTAGGCTGTTATTGTTGTTTTTTTAAAGAAAGGTGTGTGTGTGTGTGTGTGTGTGTGTTAGGAATTGCCTACTGTTGCAATTTTAATTGAACAAATTTTTATTGTATTAATTACTGGGATGGCTAAGGATTCAGAGATGAATGGCACAATCCCTAGCCACAGGGAATTCAGTCAAGTGAAGGAGACAGAAGCAGACAACTAAACTGCAGTGTGGTGGATAGAAGGTGGAACTGCACAGGATGACAGGAGAGGCACCTAACTCTGAGAGGCACAGTCAATACCTTCCTGGGGGTGATGCTTAGGATGAGTCTTAAAGGATGAGTAGGAATTAGTCAGTGAGGAGTGGACTCCAAGCCTTCCTGGCTGTTGTGCAAAGGCACCCAGGTGAGAAACAGCATGGCAGGGGCACGTGTGAAATTGTGACTGTTTTTGAGGGTACGTGTAAGTATGTAATGTTGGAAAACTACTGCTTCTTGTTTGTACAGCTGGAAGACCCAAATATCTCTGGAGTGACTTGATGGAATTAAGGCCATTCCCTCTGGAATCCCAGAGCGTCTTCCAGAGACAACACCCTTCTAGAGTCTGGATGGATGTCCCCTGGGTTAAAGCAGAGGGATGGTCCACATGACCTCAGAAGGCAATTATTGAGGGCTGCAAGATTTCTACCAGTATGAACATCCATCCACCCATTTGTGATCTCAGTTCTAAAAACACACCCATCCCTACCAAGGCCCAAATTGCATATACCTCTTCGAAGTGACTCAGAATCTGGCTGTATTTCTCCGTTGCTTCCTCCCCACAAGGGCATGTCATATGCGCATGCTGAAAAGAATGCCACAGGATGATGGATTTTATTAAAGATTCTGATTATCTGCTCTCACCAGAGAATTCTACTCTTTCACCTATGTTCTTGTACATACTCCATTCCTATAGAAAGTCTTTTCAGACCTCATCATTTGGGATCAGTAAACTAATCATCAGCTAGAAGAGGAGGCCAGCTTTGTAGGCTCAAATATGGAGCTCTTTTTTGGTTACCTAGGCTCTATTCAGATCTTGTCTTGATATTCAACCCCATGGCCTGTGGAGAGGCTGCCTCGCACAGGATACACCAATGTACTGTAGGATCCTTTACCTATAGAAAAAGTGCATTTTCATGGATAATTGATAATTGTCATTAACATCAAATAGTACTTTGTAGTTATGTAGACTTTTTGCGTAGGGTGTATACCCTAAAGTCAGTAAAACTGAGTTCTTATTACCTGTCACATGGCACAATATAGATTATGAGAACTTTTGGACTCGGTTTTTCTACCCAGTAAATGGGGGGTAAGAAAGAGCCTGGTTGCTAAGTCATTGAAGCTATGAATCCTTTTACCCAAGACCTTTACTCACACAGAGCCGAAGGTCCTTCTTGATGGTCAGAAAAGAGTTGGCAAGACTGCTGGTCTTCCGGAGGATATGGTGGTCAGGAGTCTGATAGTTTTTGAATACCCTGTCCAGGTAGAGTCTCAGTACATGGCGGAGGAGGCAGCACTGATCTGCAGGCTACAAAGAAGACTAGTATGTTGGTGTCATCCAGGGACAATCCCCAGGGTGGTGGAGATGCCTCCAATTCGTATTTCCTCCCAGACTTCTATGGGCCAAGCACGTACCTTTGTGTCTTGCAAAGACTCAGTCTTCCTCAAAATTCTGATGTCAATGATTTCATCTTTGGCTTGCTAAATGGAAGAAGGCAAGGCAGGAAAGGACAGGTCAGTGACTGCTGCCAGGTCTTAGACATCAAGGCCTCTCTCATCTTTTGCTTGCCATGGCCCAGTGCAGTGTCCCTTCCCAAAACACTTTAAAACTGTGAACTACAGCTCTTTCTTGGGAATGCATCCTCCTGGTATGGAGTCCCCAGCCTGTCTCCTTTTGTGATCATACAGCCGGGCTACCAGAGGACAGAGAAGGGCAAGTAGAGAAGGAGAGAGGCAGCCACAGGGGCAGGGGGGAGTTGCCTCCCTCACTTACCACACTGTCCCGTATCTCAGAAAACCCGTTTCGCATTTCCTGAAGGTTTGTGGTGATCACACAACTTCCCAAGTGCAGTGTCTTCAGCCCAGCAGAAGGTGTCCAGAAGAGATAAAACACAGCAGAGAGAAGGCAGATGGGAAGACCAGACGCTTTCATCTTGTGCCAGAATCTGAAGACCATAGGAGCTAGGAATTCAAAGGAAAGAGCATGACTTACTGATTTTCCCAATGTTATGTCTGAAGAAGCCAATTCAGTCACCAGGGACATGCCTTCCCCAGGTGAGCCCTAGTGAAACTCAATAGCTTTGTCTGGCTTTGGACAGTCTGGGCCATCCATCTAACTTACTAAGAAAAGCTGCTGAGCTGCTGTCCTGGAAGAAGAGACTCGGGTGTTTGCTCAGGGTCTGAGTGTGAGTTGGTGCTACAGGTCCTGACTCCTTTATTCTGTCCCCATCCCAGCCCGATCGTCATTGCCCAGCAGGTAAGGCCCGGAGCAGCAGGCACTTGCAGTGAGTAGACAGAGGATTACATTTCGGGGAAAATGTTAAAACTTGTTTTGCCGAATTGACGTATACAGACTTCTCTTCCACAATGCCAATGTAGCTCACTCTTCTGGTCCCCTTAAGCCCACAGGGGAACTGCGGGAAAACAGAATCTTACAGAAGCTGTTGCTGAGCCACCAAAAACACTTGGGGAAAATTGTCTGGATTTTATGGCTACCCCCAAGGCAGAAGAGCTTAGCTGTTTGGTATTTGTCTGGGATCAGGTTGATTATTTGGAGATAATAGATTTAATTCAACCCCAAAGGCGAATAGAAAGTCTTTGATTTCATAACAATCTTACTGCCAGGGAAAGACAAGATCTGATGGGCAGTCAGCCCAGCTACACCTAACACTTCTCCCTCTAAGGGTGTCTGCGCTCCACAGCACCCTCTACAGAAGACTAGAGTCAGGCACCCTGAGAATGCTGCAAGAGCGGGCTCTTTCCTGGCTCTGCCCAGGTCCCAAAAGAAAGAGAAGAGCAAGAAGGGAACTCATTTCTTCCTGGGATAGGCTGCTCCATAAGAGGGCACTTTATAGTGTTTGCTGAGTTTGAAGATAAATTACAGTGAGCTGGGATTAGGGTAAGGAGAACGGAGCACTCATCTCGGGCACCAAATGTAAGTGGGCACTAAAAGTCTCAATCATCAAGATAAGGAATATTTTCATTCAATATCAAAATTAATGAAAAAATATCCATGATGAAAAACATCAACATTTTAAATAACGAGTGGATCTGACAGCGCCATGCTGAGACATGTTGGCTACAAGTTCCCATCAAAATAGGTTGTTCCAGTTTGCTCAGGGCCGGGCGGGGGGGGCGGGGGAGGAGGCCCAGTTTGCTCAGGGCCAGGGGTGGGGGAGGGAGGGAGGGGCCCAGGACACAGGGCCTTCAGTTTCAAAATTGGAAAAGTCACAGGTAAACCTGAATGAGTTAGTCACCCTATATCTATGTGATCCTGGACAGATGAACTCACCTCTTTGAGTTTTGTTTTCTTAGCCCCCCACAATGATAACAATTACACTTACCCCAGAAACTTGTTTTGACATTTAAAGACAATGATATATGATTTATACACCTAAACTATAATGGGTGATCAATTCACTTTAAACAGAGAATGATGTTAGCTGCCTTGAATATAGCGAGTATATAGTAAATATATTTTAAATTCAACAATTTGAGGGGCACCGGGGTGGCTTAGTAGGTTAGGCGTCCAACTTCGGCTCAGGTCATGATCTCAGTCTGTGAGATCGAGTCCCACGTTGGGCTCTGTGCTGACATCTCAGAGCCTGAAGCCTACTTCAGATTCTGTGTCTCCCTCTCTCTCTGCCCCTCCCTAGCTCATGGCTCTGTCTCTCTCTCTCTCGAAATTAAGTAATAAATTCAACAATTTGATTAGCATTTATTGAGCACCATCTTTTTTAAATTAAATTTTTAAAAAAGATATATTAATTTTGGGGGCGCCTGGGTGGCTTAGTCGGTTAAGCATCCAGCTTTCGCTTAGGTCATGATCTCGCAGTTCATGGGTTCGAGCCCCGCGTTGGGCTCTGTGCTGACTGCCAGCTCAGAGCCTGGAGCCTATTTCAGAGTCTGTGACTCCCTCTCTCTCTGACCCTCCCCTGCTCACGCTGTCTCTCTCTCTCTCTCTCCTAGAAATAAAATAAAAATATTTTTTAAAAGTATTCATTTTTTAGAGATAGAGCAGGAGCAGAGAAGGGGCAGAGAGAGGGAGACAGTATCTGAAGCAGGCTCCAGGCTCTGTGCTGACAGCTCAGAGTTTGATGCAGGGCTCAAACTCATGAACCATGAGATCATGACCTGAGCTGAAGTAGGGTGCCCAACAGACTGAGCCACAAATATCAAAAAGATATTTGAGCACTATCTTAAATTTTGTGCTAGGTACTGGAGTGTGAAGATAAACATGATAATTCTCTATCCTCAGGATATTTCTTACTGTTGGAAAGGGCTCCTTTAGATGTGGCCCTGAACATACGTGGGTAAATGATTGGAAGGACTAGGCTGATTCCCAGAACTGTGTGAATAGTGTAGAGAAAGGGAATTCTCTTACCTGAGTTCAGGAAAGGCTGCTGCTCCTGGTATCCTAGGAGTCGGTCTCAAGCCAAGAGGCTTCCAGTTTTATATACAGGTCACAGAAAGGAAGTGAGCTCCTGCAGGTGAGGGCTGAAACTCCCCTGGAATTTCTCTGGTGGCATCGCACTTCCTCCCATCCTAAGGCAGATTAATTGCAGGCTGCATGACCTCAACCCCTTCCTCCTGAAGATTCCTTCCTAGGAGACTATTACTGGTTATAATTTTTAGATAAAGAATACGCTGGGGGCACCTGCGTGTCTCAGTCAATTAAGCAACCGACTCCTGATTTCAGCTGAGGTCATGATTTGCCGATTCATGGGTTCGAGCCCCACATTGGGCTCTGTGCTCACAGTGCCAAGCCTGCTTCGGATCCTCTGTCTCCTTCTTGATGCTCCTCCCCTACTTGTGCTCTCTCTTCCTCCCTTTCTCTCTCTCTCTCTCCTTCCCTCTCTCAAAATAAATAAGTAAATAAGTGTTATTTAAAAATAATAATAATAAAAAAGGATGTGCCTCTTTCTTCCCAGCTGCCTTCCAGAAGGAAGGTTAAAGGTAATCAGGACAGCAAAGATCACTGAATTACATAACTGGAAGAGAAGTCCAAGAGCTGCTTTTGCTCCTTCCTCTATTATGTTTTTTACTTCATGTTTTGTAAGATTTTATTTGTAAGTAATCTCCACACCCAACGTGGTGTTCGTGGTGTTCAAACTCGTAACCCCAAGGTCAAGAGTCTCATGTGCTACCAGTTGAGCCAGTCAGGCACCCCACTGCCACCTTTAAATCCAGTTCTCCTGAACCAGGTTTCCCCCCAGCACAGACACCATGGGCTGCTGGCTTCTGCTGCTTCTCCTTTGCTTTTGTTATTTCCACCATTTCTTTCCAACAATGGCCACCCTTCGTTCCCTCCACTCATCATTAAAGAGTGGACCTCAATTCTTTATTTTTGAATTATTCTAGGCCACACCAATCCTTTCCTCCTCAGAATTCCAATCACAGGTATTTCTTTGACACATGGGAGAATCTAATGATTCACGAATCTTAGCCTTTTTTCCCTAAGGACACTGGAAGATTTTCTTAGGGACTAATCAATCCATCAGGTAGAACACCTCCCGGTAAGATTAAATCAAAGCACCTGTGATTAACTATACACAATCTTTGAAAATTATCAAGATGGTAGAGATTATAATATATTTCTTTTCAGCTCTTATCTTAATATCTACAACTCCGAGTTCCTGTAGTTGACTTCAGGGATTCGATGGTTTCCAGGATGACTTTCCCATGTTATTTCATTTTTCTGGATTTCAGTTTATGTATCTGTAAAGTGAGAGCAATAGAATAGGTAATGTATAAGATCTTTTCCAAACGTGACATTCAATGTCTCTATGATTCTCTGCTTTTCTACCTTTTGGGTCAGAGCATTCTTTTTAATGTCTTCCAGATGTTCCTTTAAAATGAAGACTAGAGGGATGCCTGGGTCACTCAGTCAGTTAAGCGTTTGATTTTGGCTCAGGTCATGATCTCACAGTTCATGGGTTCGAGCCCTGTGTCAGGCTCTATGCTGACAGCTCAGAGCCTGGAGCCTGCTTTGGATTTTGTGTCTCCCTCTCTCTCTGCCCCTCCCCACCTCAAGTTCTGTTTCTCTCTGTCTCAAAAATAAATAAACATTAAAAAAATAAAATGAAGACTATAACTCTTCATTGTAATGCTTGATAAATGTTGAAAATATGTGTGAATATCTAGTCTAAATATCTCTTGAACTCATGCCTGTTTTATCATCATTGATGCTAAATAAACTACTTCTCATGGTCATCCATAACCGTAATTAAATTAGTGGCAAACATGGTCTGACAAAAATATTTGAAGTCAAAACCTTAATATAAGCTGTTCCCATGTCAGTCAATTCTTTTCCTTTAAGCAAGAAGAACCCAATAGCTTTGTTTGAAGTCATCTGTAATGATTAATTAAACTTGTTCATGTACAATCCTGATCCTATTTTAATAATTGAGTCTCTCCTTTTCTTACATTGAAATTCTTCTCTTAAAATCCATTGAATATGAGGTGCCTGGGAGGCTCAGTCGGTTAAGCGTCCAACTTAGGTCATGATCTCACGGTTCATGGGTTCAAGCCCTGCGTCGGGCTCTGTGCTGACAGCTAGCTCAGAGCCTGGAGCCTGTTTCAGATTCTGTGTCTCCCTCTCTCTCTGACCCTCCCCTGCTCACGCTGTCTCTCTCTCTCTCTCAGAAATAAATAAAAAACATTAAAAAAAAGTAAAAATCCATTGAATAGATCCCATTCCACTCTCCATACACACACCAACTCAACTCTCCTCCTCTACAAAACTGTATCTGCCTCACCCTAGCCTCTTTCTCCACCCCCATTTCCCAGGGCAAACTTGGTCCCTCCCACGTGTGGACCTCCACTTTACTTTGCATATACTTCTTCTGTATTTATCACAGTTAATTGCAGTTTATCGGTTGCATATCTAGATTTCTCACTAGCCTGAGGCTTCATGTTCATTTCTGTGGTCCCAAGACTCAACGGCTCCTGGTGGGTGGTCAGTTAATACTTGATGACTATTGAATGAACATACCGATTTAAAACCATCTTTTCATGGGGCTCCTGGGTAGCGC